CCATGTCAGACTTTTAACTCATATCAAGCTTGCACTGCAGTAAAATCTCCAGATTTTTTTTTTAAACTAGAAATATTTTCTAAGCTAGTTTTCCCCCACATTGCATATATAGTGTTGATGTTTGAATCTGAAGTATAACTATTTACAGTGATCTCTATTCAATGTTGTGTTATTTGATTGGTCCATTATGCTAACCTGGCAAGTCTTTTTTGGAGCCTGAATGTCATTGGACTTCTTAGCCATTTTTCTAGGCTTTGTGTCACCTGTAAATTTGACATACCTACCATCTATGGCTTCATCCAATTCACTGATAAAAATCTTTAACAGCAGTCAGCTCTTCAGGGGCACTGCCTTAGAGAAACACTCCAAATAAGTACCTGGCCCATTAATGGCTATTTCTGTCTTGTTATGTCATCACTTTCAGATGCACCTGAATGTACTATCAACCAGCCTAAATCTCTCCACCTTTTCTCTAAGCCTAAGAGATTTTGTCAAATGCCTTGTTAAAATCTGAGTAGACAATGGATAGAACATTCTCTTAATCTACAGTGTAGTTAACCAGTCAAAAGCCTAAATACCTGTAGTCTAGAATTACTTGTGCTTAGTGAGGTCATACCTTTTAGAGATCACTGTTCCCTTTTCTAAGTACTCACATTAATCATTAATTCTAGAATTAATCATTCATTCTAGAATTTTTCAGATACTAGAATAATCAAGGACAAGATTACTGGTCTATAATTTGGAGTCTCCAACTTTTTACTTTTTTTTTTTTAATGCAAGACATTTACCCTCTCCTTTTCCCCAACAATGGTGCAGCATTACTCTCATTCTCCAAGATCACCACCAACAATACAGCAATCACATCTCCTTGTTATTTGAGTTCTCTAGAATAGTAGTGTCTAACTCAAATAGAAATGAGGTGAATAACTCAGCTTTCATAACAACCAGTAGAGTGATTATTGGCTTAAAATATACATATTAACACTATCTATTTTTTATTTGTTTTGTTAAATATTTCCCAATTACATTTTAATCTGGTTCAAGCCCCACTTGGAGTGTTGTGGGTGGCATGCAGTCTGAAGGCCACAGGTTTTGACACCACTGCTCTAGGATGTACTTCACCTGGGTCTATTGACTTGAACTCATTGAAGACAGCTAGGTGTTGCCTGATCATTTAATTTATCTTGGATTTCTATACCCTGTTAATCATTTATGTTTTGCCTCTTTTAGTTCAAAGGTCATTCTCTTTGGAAAAAGAAAATGGCAGCAAGTTTGGAGTTGAGTCAGTCGTCTAGCATTTATTAAGCACCTGCTATGTACTAGGCACTATGCTAAACACTGGGGATTCAAAGAAAGGCAAAAACAGTCCCTGTTCTCAAGGAGCTCATGGTCTAATGAGAGGAGACAACAAGCAGCTTTATACAAACAAAATATATACAAGATAAATTGGGAGTAGTCTCAGAGGAAGGAACTAAGATTAAGGAGGACTAAAAGGCTTCTTGTATAAAATGAAACTTTATCTGACACTTGAAGGAATCCAGGAATCTCCTATCAGGGGTGAAGAGGAGCACTTAGAGCATTTCAAGGATGTTATTCAATCATTCAGTCATGTCTGACTCTACCTGTGAATTTTTGTCCATGGGTTTTTCTTGGCAAAGATATTTGTGTGGTTTGCCATTTCCTTCTCCAGCTCATTTTAAAGATGAGGAAACTGAGGCAAACAGAGTTAGTGACTTGTCCAGGGTCGCACAGCTAGTAAGTATCTGAGACCAAATTTGAACTCAGATCTCCTGCCTCCAAGTCCAGTGCTCTATCCACTTCACCATCTCGCTGTCTTCTATTCAAGGAGAGAGGACAGCTAATAAAAACTCTCAGAGTGTAGAGATGGAATGTCATGTATGAGGAACAGTGAGTAGGCCAGTATTACTTACTGGGTCTTGTGGTTTGTGGAGAATAATAAGATGTAAGAAGGCTGGAAAGGTAGGAAGGTGCTGTGTTCTGAAGAGCTGAGTGGATGATGGATTGTAGTGAGATGAGACTTGAGTCAGGGAGACCAACTGACAGGTGTGAAGTGATGAGAGTCTGAACTAGGGCAGTTATAGTGTCAAAAGACAATGGGTGGGGCTTATTTATTAGATTTATGAAGGTAGAAATGATAGGACTTTGGCAACAGATTTGATATGGGAGGTGAGAAAATGAGAGGTCGAGGATGATACCTAGGTTGTGAACCTGGGTGATTGAGAGGATGGTGGTTCACTTGACAGTAATAGAGAAATTAGGAAAAAGGAAGAGTTTTGGGGAAATTGATTGATTTCTGTTTGGGGTATGTTGGATTTCAGAAGTCTAATAGGTAGTGATGTCTAATGAACATCTCTATTAATTTAAAATGTCTAATAGGCAATTGAATATGAGAATTGAGTTGTTCTCACCATCATCTGTTATTATCATCTGATCCAGGAGAGCAACAATCCTACCCTTCTTTGATCCTTTTTTGTTCTTTGCCCCAACATAGCTTTTCTAATTATTTCTAATCTTTAAATTTTTTTTTTACAACATAGATTTTAAAAAGTTTGTGTTGTTGCTGTTGTTAGCATTTGTTGTCAGACTCAACTCTTTCAAGAAAGCATTTAGCATTCCCAGACAACACTCCTCTTCTGCACTCGTTCTCACCTTGACTTTGCTTCTATCTCCTATACTCCGCTTTCATAAATAGGAGTTTGTCGATGAGTATCTTGTGCATCTGCATTGTCTTCTTTAGGTGGATCTCCCTTTTCCTAACTAGAACAATTTCTGCTTTTGTCTTCAGAATTGTATTTTTTGGAGCTTCCCCTGCCTTTTGTACCCTTAAGATTGCCTCCTATATTCTGAAGTTAGAAACATTACCTTTGAGTGTTTATTACTTATAAAAAAATATGGTATTTTTCCTTTAGAAAGCGGAAGGATGACATACTGCGGCAAAGTAGATACAGAACTGCACTGCCCGAAGTGGTGGTGTTGTTGAATCCTTTTCAGTCAGTGTCTGACTATTTGTGACCCTATTTGGGGTTTTCTTGGCAAAGATAGTGGAGTGGTTTGCCACTTCCTTCTCCATTGAACGAAGTAGGTGCTCGATAAATGCTTAAGAAATGGTAAATGATATGAAACAAAATTATTTTTCTAGAGGGTTTTCAAGAGGCCAACCCAACATTTCCTAAATGATGTACCCCCTAAAATTAGCATGAAATGAATGTCTCAGCTTCAGGTCTGTACTCTGCCACACAAGTGCCAAAAGAGTTTTTCTTTTCTGTCTAGCCAGGGTAGCCCCATTCTTCTCACTATAGGAACTTGCAGGAAATATTACAGGTCTACACAATTTAACAAGATTTTTGTTTTACCTAAAACAATGCAATATTTTTTTTGCAAAAAATTTAAACTAAAACAAAAATCTTGTGAAGTTGTCCAGACCTACAGAGTTTTTGTGAAAATAAATCCAATGAGTCTTAACTTTTTTGGCTTTTTTTGTATCTAACTGATGAAACTATTCTACATAATGACAATAGAGGGGATGTTGTCAAATATTGCCATTAATATATTCAGATACTAATAGGCAAGAAATAAAATAGTAGAATATTTGTTAGCACTCATCCACACCTAATGACATGTTAGGTTCTGTGTTTGGTTTAATACCCCAGTGGAGTGTTATGGGGATCAAATTAGATATCCATAGGGCTTAGTACAGTGCCTGGCATATTATAGGTACTTAATAAATAAATGCTTATTGATTGATTGATTGATTGAACTTTGAAACATTAAGTAAATATAGAGATTGGAATTGTGATTTCATTGTGAACTCCCAGGTCAGTTCAAAATAATAATTTAATATATTAGTTGATAATAATTAACATCAACCAATAAATGAGTTCATATGTAATTACATAATATTACTGTATGCTTGTGGATCAATAACATTTAAAAACATAGACTTCAGAACTTAAAGTTATTGTATTTATAGTAAAGCACAAAGGAGAAAACTGAGGCTTAGTCCTGTGCTCTTTCTGCTTGGTCCCTCTGTTTTTATTATTTCTATTCTCATTAAGAGCTCAATAGGAAGTGATAACCTTGGGGTTAACAAGGTCTTGGTTCGAGTTCTCCCTCAGATGATTATTTGCTGAGTGATCACAGTGATGTTATTTAATCTTTTAAGTGCTTCAGATACCTTTCTAATGCTAAGCTACCAATGAATTATGGATCTGTATCAGCAGAGAGTGTTTCCATAACCGGGAGTTTCCCCTATATCTCTGAAATCATAGCTCCAGACTAGTCCCTCCTCCCTTTCCTAAAAACAAAACAAATCAAAACAAAACAAAAAAAGAACTCAATGCTTTTAAGTCAGAAACTCTTATTGGATTCCTGCTATGGGTTGAAAACTGTTGTGGAAATTTGAGTAGGTTTACAAATGAAATTGTAGGAATGGTCTCCGCCCACAAGGAATTTACAATTTAATGATAAAGAAAGCCTATATGTACAAATTGCAAAGGCTCATAGTTAGATATACAATTAATGACTATTACTGTAGATAAAAATCAGTGCCTATTTCAAGAACAATATAATGTTCACATCAGGATTTAAAATATATTTAACTTTTAGTTCATTGTTAAAAATGAAACCATTTAGTGATATTTACCCCTTCCCATGTGAATATAAATCCATTCTTTCAAGTCACTGACTTTTAGAGATTCTGGATTCTGGTACCCAAATTTCCTTTGGTTTGTGCACCCTTCTTTTTTTTCCTGTGTGGCGGGCTTACTATCACGGGTGTTCCCAACCAAGAGTGAACCACGGGGAGGAAAACACTGCAGAAAACATCTGTTTCCATTACTACTGTAGGGTTGATTCATTATGAAAATAGGAAAAGGTTAAATGAAAAACATTTTAGGGAAGTCACAAACCATACAAGGTACTGACTTAGCCACAACTGTGGGTGTAATTTTTTTTCCTTCTCTTCTTTTTCCTTTCAACAGGGAGACACATCACCTCTTCCTCCCACTGTTCCAGACTGTCTGCGGGCTGATGTTAGGATTTCTCCTTCTCAGAGCCAAAATTGTTCCATCTATGCAGCTGAAAAGAATATCACCCACGGCTTCCTCTACCCTCCTAGTTAGTATGACTCTTTTTAGCACAGCAGCTTTGAAAGCCTTCATCAGCTGGATGTGGGCATGTGCTTAAACATACACCCCAAACCAAAACAACCTTCTTGGGGTAAGCAGCCTGCACAGGAGTAGGCATCCAGTAGCTGTGTGCTGACCAGAGGCAATACAACAACTGTAATAAAGACTAATAAATTTTGCAGTGTGAGCCACAGGTCATCTGTAATCTTACCCAGATGTTTAGAGAGTTCACCAGGTTTAAGTTTAAATTTAAAACAAAATTCTTTGGTGAGAGATGGACATCTAAAAAAATATATTTTTCTTGCTACTACGCAAATGTTGCCTGTATTAAAAACAGAGCTGTCTCTCTAAAGAATTCAGGCCAGAGTCTGGAAGCTTTTGTTCATACGGCAACATATTAAGCAGTTGAATATTGGTGGAGTTAGGCAGTTTAATAACTGTTAAAATAGTTTTTTTTACTCTCTCTGGAAATCTGGAAAAGCTGATATATTTTTCTGAAGCTTGAATTTATGCCTTGTTGAATATGGAACGTCATTCTCACTGAAGTTTCCTTGAAGTTTCCAGTAATTTCAAGGTCCAGCTAGTTTCTCTTCCGATATTTTGATACTTCCAATATTTTTAGCCATGACCAGAAATGGAGTTCACAAAGGTGCAGAGACTTGTTAAAAAGGAGAAAGTGATCATAAAACCATTAGCAGTATGCCACTTTTAAAATATGTAAGTAGTGTCAAAGTTGGAGAAATTCTATGCCAGTAAGATTAATTTCAATTAATTTCTGGAAAAATATAGAATGTTATTATTAAATAAATGGTTTTGTGAGCATTTAGGCAGGCAGCTAGGTGGTATAGTAGTTAATCCTGGTCTTGGAAGAAGGTAGATCTGAGTTCAAATCAGGCATCATACCTTTATTAGCTATGTGACTCTAGGTAAGTAACTTCACCTTCGGTGCCTCATTTTCTTCATGTGTAAAATAAGAATATTAATAGCATCTACTTCACAGTGCTGTTTTGAGGATAAAATGAGATAATTTTTGTAAAGTGCTTTGTGAAAATGAAAGCACTATATAAATACTACCTATTGTTATTATAAGTAGCTAAGTAGCATACAATTCATAAATTTGGAACTGGAAGTGAACTTAGAAGACACTAAGTCCACCACACTCATTTTACAGATGAGGAAATTGAGGCATATAGAAGGTAAGTGATTTGCTCAGAGTCACATAGGTAGTAAGTGTCTGAGAAATGAAGTAAATCTAGGTCTTTCTGTCTCTAAATCAAATATCCCATTTACTGTGCCATGCTGCCCTTGGCCCTGCCCATTTTAACCCTAAAAAAAAAAGATTTGGATGGAGGCATAGATGACCTCTATAGCAAATTTTCAGATGTCACAAAGATGAAAGGAATAGTTTACAGATTTAATTAGAGTCCAGTTCCAAAAACATCTCAACAGGCTAGAACAAGGGACTGGATCTAATAAAATTGAATAGAGATAAATGTAAATATTAGCTGTAAGTGCCAAATAGAGAAGATATTGCTAGAAAAATTTGTGGAAAAGACTTCAGTATATTACAAGTTCGATATTAGTCAGCAGTGTGACATGGTCATCAAAATAGTAAATGTGATAGTGCCATATGTACCGTATGGTTCAGAACAAGGGAAGTAATGGTACTATTTTACTCTGTTCTGACCATACTACATCTGGCAGTCTGGTAAAGCCAATTATTAAATTCAATGTGAACCTTTACAGCAGAAATCAGCAAAAGAAACCAGCAAAAGCTATAAATCAAGACCTCATTATTATTTTGTTGACTGTCTAGACTTAAGAAAGTGGCAGAGAAAATGTTAACATTGTGGATTAAAATTAAAAGTGCATCATGAAGCTGGTTGTTAAACATTTACCATCATGCCCCTGCATGAAATCCAACCTCAGCTTTCAAAGATAAATGTCATTGTGTTAGGGAAAAGGCCTCAGGACATTACCCCATTGTGTGGAGATATTGACCACAGGATACCATAAAGCTAATACCTGGGAGGTCATAGAAAGATGGGTGGGAGATAAGGGCCAGGTCAGGAAGAAACTCACCTGAGGTACGGCCACATCTTGTGGGAGGAGGAAGCACACCATTTGGTAGCCTCTTATTCTATTTTTTAAAAAATATTTTAATTAATATCATTTTAAAATATCACCTTCATTTGGAATTATGTCTCTCTACCTTACCCTATCCAACAAGACATCTTTTGAAATAAAGAATAAGGAAAAAAAAAAGAGAAAAAACAGTTTGGGAAAACTAACCAATATGTTAATGAAGTCTGACATTATATATGATGCTCCATACCCAGAGTGTTCCATCTTTGCAAAGAAGAAAGGGTAGCTTTCTATTTTAACTAACTACTGTAGTTAGCTAGGTACTGAAGGATTGTGTTATCGACCTCCTCTGTATTTCAGTACCCTGGAAGATAACTCTGGTCTACTTGCTCTAGTTATATCTCTGATTTGAAATGTTTCACCTAGAGAAGGGAAGATTAGGGAGGATGTGGTAGCTGTCTTCAATGTATGAAAGGCAGTCATGTTTTTGAGACAAGAGATTAAAATTATTCTGCTTAATTCAAGAAAGCAGAACTAGGAATGAGCTGAAGTTTCAGAGAGAGAGATGTCAGTTTAATATAAGGAACAATTTCTTAACAATTAGAGCTATTCAAAATCCCAATAGGCTGCCTTTGGAAATAGCAAACTCTCTATCAAGTGAAGGCTAGATGGCTATTTGTTGGGCATGTTGTGATAGACATCAAGTTAATAATGTAGGCAAATTGCTTTGTAGACCTTAAGTAATAATAGCTAGCATTTGTATACCATTTTAAGATTTGTAAAGTGCTTTACAAAAATTGTCTTATTCTAAACCTAATAGCAGCCTTGAGAAGGCAAATTTTATCATTATCATTTTACATGGAAGAGATAGCATTTGGCCTGTGTTTTGAAGTGAATAGGTAGTATTTTGACAGGCTGTGATGGAGAGAAGTAGGGAGCAGTTATTACTGATGAAGGTAATGGATATACAAAGGGATATTTTCAGTTGGAAGAGTTCCTTGTTGGGGGGTGTTGGGTGTGGAACAAATCATAAAGAAACTATCTTACTATGTTTGCTCTGGAGCTCTTTCCACTAATTTTACTGAACTGTTGAACTGTGAATCAGGTCAGTCAGAAGCCATTTTAATTGATTGTTACTTCATATTGATTGATTCAATGAAGATCGAGAGTTGAGCTCTACCCATCCCCTGGTTCAGTACGAGGAAAAGGTCTCAGGCAGCAGACTAAGGATGGAAAATGTGCCCTGTTGCTCTGGAAATGCTGCAGCAATAGTGGATATTACTGAATTTTCTGTCTGTTCCTTGGTATCTCCCTTAGCATCTCATAGTTAAGAAGGGGAAGGTGGGGTGAGTGAGGAGATGGAGTAATGATGCAGGTCCCTCAAGTGAGGCTAAGCCCCAAATGTTCCAGTATGGTTTGGCCCTTTTCCCAATAGCTTGTGAGCTCCCTGAGAGCAAATGACTATTTGTTTTTGCTTTTTTTTCTATTCCTAGATCCTTGGACAGTATCTGGTACCTAGCAGGTGCTTGATTTTTTTTTTAATCAGTAACTGGAATGGGTTTTTATTGTTTTTGTTTTTGTTTTTTGCAGTGTTCCACAAGGCAGCCAACAGACAATATGATGCTTTACTTACAAGCAATTTAATTCCCACTTATGAAGCATTTAAAAGTAAGTTGAAGGATTGAGATCATGATATTAAGACTAATTATAAAACTCCTTGGGATTTCAGGGAAAATTTTACAATCTCACAACTGGCATTAATGCCATTATGTTCTCTTGGTATAAATAGAGTTCTTAATAGTAAACATAGGATGCCTTTTCAGGATGTCCTCTTGATTCAGTTTTGGACCACTTACTTGCCTAGCTTCTTAGATCATTATTCTCATATTTAATTGAACCATAAAGAAACTGTTCACTCACAAACAAAAAGTCACTACTTTTTCTTGAAGGCAAATACAGGTGCCATTCTTTAGACCTCCCTTTGTGGCCTACTTCTTGAGCCGGTGTCTATATTCTGGTCCTCTAAAATGAACGCACATTGTCACCTATGAAAACGTAAGTCTCAGGAATGTCTGTAGAGCTGTTCATATCTACTTCCCACATAGGCTGGCAAAAACAAAGAAAAAGAAAGACCTGAATAGTAGAAATTTTCATTTCATTGTTCAAAATTCAAAGTAAATAGGGGTAGGTAAGTGGTACAGTGGATAGAGTGCCAGGCCTGGAGTCAAATTCAGCCTCAAATATTTTGTGATGGGCAAAGTCACTTAACTTCTCTTTGCCTCAGTGTCCTTAACTGTAGAATGAAACCTTGCAAGATTGTTGCAAGGATCAAATGACATAATATTTGTGAAGTGCTTAGCACAGTGCTTGACATATAATAAGTGCTACATAAACATGAATTATTATTACTATTATTAATCATGTCATTTAATCTGCCATTTTATCAATCTAGGGAATTCCCAGTATAGAAACTCTTTCCAGTGACAAAGATGAGTGGAAATTAGTAACTTATTCTGAAATTTTAGACTAGGGGTTTTGAACCTGGGGTCCATAGACCCCTTTAGGGGTTTTGGTATAGATTTCAAGGAGTCTATGAACTTGTATTGGAAAAAAAATAACATCTTTTTAATTAATTTCCTTTATAATCCTGTGTATTTTGCTTTATACATCTGAAAACATTCTTCTGAGAAGAGGTCATAAGCTTCACCATATTTCCAAAGGAGTCCACAACTCAAAAAAGGTTAAGATTCCTGCTTTAGATCATAGAGCTACCTAGAGTACAGAGAAGTTGTGACCTGGCCCCTGGTCACACAGCAGAGGCAAGACTTTAACCTATGCCTTTGAAACTCCAAGACTGGTCTTCTATTCCCTGTGTTACACTACTTCTGCATGCCATATTGAAATACAAAATATAGAATGTAGAAATATATGATATCTCCTGGCAAATATTAAAATAGATGTTGCGTTTTAAAGTGAGATTCCATTTATTATTTTAAAAATCATTTTCCATCATAGAAAAGATAAACTTTCATTTGCAATAGAATATACAACTTTTTTGTCTAAACCTTTTATTATCAGAAATGTGGGACTACTTCCACAGTGTTCTGCTTGTGAAATATGCTACTGAAAGAAATGGAGTGAATGTGATTAGTGGACCAGTGTTTGACCACAATTATGATGGACGTTCGGATGAGCCCCAAGAAATTATAGAGTAAGTACAAGCTTTTCAGCCATGGAATTGTGATGGTCATATACAAATTATATAAAGTAAACATAATAAACATCTTTCATGGGATACAATGTGATGAAGTGGGAAGAGTACTGGATAGGGATTCAGAATCAGAATTTGAATCCTTGCTTTCCACTTATAGCTGGGTGATCTTGGGCAACTCACTTGACATATCAGGCCCTCAGTGTCTTCATCTGTAAAATGAGGGAATTGACCTGGTTAGAAAACAGTTCAGTAAAATTAAGCAACATGTTGAAAAAGTCTGACATTAAATACAGTATTGTACACTCTTGTCCCCTATAAGACCATAAATTGCAAATTAGGTGCCAATATGTATGGGTAGAGGACATTTCCTCATCAAGATTTCCCCATACTAATGAAATCATTGGTCCAGTCCAAAAAAATCCATATAGGTGCAATCCAAATAATCATCAGTGTGGAGACTTTATATAGAGATTGCAACTTCTATCTGTGTCCTGGGCCACACAGCTCTAAAATATTATAGGCTTATCCAGGCTTTCTTTACTCTATTCCCAGAACTCTGTCTGGAATGCCATACTACCTCTTATCAGTTAACCTAACAACACTATAGTAAAGTAAGTAATGTAGGTGGTAACCCCATTTTAATAATGAGGAAATTGTGACACAAGACAGAAAAGAGACTTTCTAACGCTCACACAGTTTAGGTGTCCTGCTTCTCAGTCAGACATTCCCTGCAGCCGACCACACTGTCTCTTATCAATGCATTCATTATATTATATGCAGAATTTTATATTTAGAGATTCTATTGTAACCTCTGAGTGTGATTAAATTCAAATCTAAAAAAGTGGTTAGATACTACATGTCAAGAACATCTTCTTTTGTTCAGTAGTTTCAGTCATGATCCCATTTGGGTTTTTCTTGGTAAAGATACTGGAGTGGTGTGCCATTTCCTTCTCTAGCTCATTTTACAGATGAGAAAACTGAGGCAAACAAGGTTAAGTGACTTACTCAGGGTCACACAGCTAATAAGTGTCTGAGGGTGGATTTGAACTTGGGTCTTCTAACCACAGGCTTGTTGCTCTGTACACTGTACCACCTAGCTGGTCCAACCTTCTTTATCAATCTGCTACCGTGCTTGGAAGTCAAAGGACTTTGTGACACTAATGCTAATCAAAATTTTTTTTTAAAGGTTTGTAAATAATACTGACATTCCCATCCCAACTCATTACTTTGTGGTGCTGACTAGCTGCAAAAACCAGACTTATACTCCACTAGACTGCCCTGGTTCCTTGGATGTCTTGCCTTTTATCATTCCTCATCGATCTACCAACATAGAAAGTTGTCCTGTGAGTACATTTTGCAGCCAGTACTATAATAATGTTACATTTGAAAATTAAGGGAAACTGAGACAGTGATCTGAGCATGAACAATTTATTAGTTAGGCTAGCAGTAAACAATAAATTGGATCAATGGCATCTCTCAATGACCAAAGACCTTAAGATAGGACTCACCAGCCTTAATATGGTTTTGGGGAATACAGAGTTGGGTAGGTGGGGAAGACAGCACAATTGGATACAGAATAGATAGTATCATGAGGGAGGTGACAACATGACTGGCTATTTTAAAGAAAGCTAGCACACTTTTGTGGCACTAGTGATCATTCCTCTCAGACAGTTAAGGAATATTAATTGTTTTATGGGACCCATCATCATCTTGTATACCTGAGTAAGCAGACTTCCTAGTGCCTAGAAGGGTTTGTTAGGGAAATAAGACCCAAGACAGGTAAAGATGGACAATATACCTTTCGGGGATGATACTTCTGTGGGGCTAAACAAACAGCTATCCATGAAATATCCTAGGGGATACTGACATGAGAGATGACGGCCTTTTATTTAAAGTAACTTTGAGTTAGCTTTGCTGGATCCCTGAGCTCAACTAAGCCAGGTAAATGCAGACCCAAATAGATTACTGAGCTTAACTCAACCAGATGGTTACAGACCTAATTACAAAATTAATGCAACATAAAATCAGTTACAATGTAGAATCAATGCAGTAGAAATTGATACAGAATAAATTTGCTCTTTTTACAGTAGGTACAGGCTAGCCAGAATAAGAGGAAAACTAAGAGCCAAGTTGCTTGAAGGGTATCTTTAATGTAGTCAGTCAATTATCATTTATTTATAAGTACTAAGTACATGCCAGGCACTGTGCTAAGTGCTAAGGATACAGAGAAAGGTTAAAAAAAAAAGGTAAGCAAACAATAAAACAGTCCCTGTCCTCAAGAAGTTTACATTCTAATGGGGGAGACAACATCCAAAACAATTATGTGCAAGCTATATCTATCTATCTATCTATCTATCTGTCTATCTATCTATCTATCTATCTATCTATCTATCTATCTATCTATCTATCTAT